GAGTCACAGAGTCTTGGGCTCTGTGACTGTAGTGTTGGGGCTCAGAAATCAATACCCTACAGGATGGTGCCAAAGAAGAAGCCGCCAGGTCTCTGTAACCCCCGACCCACCTCTCAATTCTCTATCTCTTCCAACGCACAGGATGAAGTTGTTCTCTGAAGATCCCGTATCTGCCTAGACTCTGGTCCCACCAAAGAAGAAAACAATTACCTGTGGTCCCTTCCCTAAGTTTCATTGACTGAACTCACATCACAGGAAGAGACTGAAGTCTGCCAACACACCTGGACAGAATTTTGTCACAGTCATTTTCTCTGTGGGTCCAACAGACTTTGTGCCAGGCTACTATATGTTCTTCAAGTCCACAGAATTCCCCTAAATATCCGGTACTACCCACCAAAATCACCCACACTTCCCCATCCCCCCCTGTCCTAAGAAGAAGGGTATGTAACCATCTGTACCCCAATGCATGTGGGCGCGGTCATCACTCTGGAATTCTCCCTGTGCATGTTCATAAATTTGTATGCCTTTTCTTCTGTTAATCTGCTTTCTGTCAGTTGACTTTCAGTGAACCTTCAGAGGGTGGAGGGGAAGTTTTCCTTTGGCCCCTCCAGTATCGAGCATACGGTCTGAAAAAGTTTAGCACTCCTCTAAAACCCTTTATACACAGACTATACTACACATGTCCCACCGGGGGAAAACAAAAGCTGAAACACTGCTTTTCACAAGACGTTCCAGGGAGAGGGTGTGAATAGCAATTCTCTGGAAATGATCACATCAAGCAATTGTTTTTTTCCCAGCCCAGGATCCCCGTGATGAGTTTGTTCCATTGGTACTAAGTGGTTATTAATCAGTAAGAAAATGCTTGTCTGGATACCCAGGCTGTCTGATTTGCATATTCATGGACAGTAAGTTGGAAGCACCGTACAAAGATGGTGGATGGTGGCTTTTTCCAGGTACCCCCCAACGTATCCTGTGTGTCCCTGCAGCCCTTGACACAACAAGAGCAGTCCACGGGGTGTGACCAGTTGGTGGCCCTCATCAGCCTTTCTGCAGAGGGTTCCTTCCCACTGCCAGCGGGACGGCGCCAAGGTTTCCATGAGATAGCGTCTCAGCAAGCCCACTGACGCAACTCCAACAGCCTGGGTATCCGCAAGAGCTTCTCACTTCCGATGCTGACATTTTCTTAATTCAGTTATACATAAGGTAAAAATTATCTTCTCCGAAGCAACAAAATACAGGGGGACAGCAGAGGCCCGCGTGGCTGGTAACCAGAGCTGTTCAGTTTGGGGTCCAGGGTGGCCACCAAATGAGCTTTGGTGCCAAGTTTATGCAGGAGTAGATTGTGAATCTCTATAGATGTCTCAGCTGTCTTTGGTTAGTAGTTTCCAGGAATAGCTTTTTCAATGTTACACTTTCAATGTTTCCATGTTCTTTCATTTCACGTGAGTGTCTTGTATACATGATACTTATGTGGATTTAGGTTTTTTAAAATCCAATGTGGCAATCTTTTAATTGGTGCATTGAGTCCATATATGTTTATAGTATCAGAATTATTGATAAATTAAGACTCATTTTTCCAACTTACCCTTTGAATTTGTATATATATATATATATATATTCCTTCTTTCCTTTGCAAATCTGAAAGTTTGACTGGTGTTTCTCTTTTGCTTGTTCATCTTCATCATTTCACTCTATTTCTTTAATGAGTTTCGCCACCTAGTTCAATCACCTGTAGTCCCCAGGGCTCTAAGCTATTGTCTCTGTTCTCACTCATGGAGATCTACTGATCTTTGGCTATGAGCTTTTTGCTTCATGTTGATCTGGGCAACTCTAGTCAGCCCAAATTAGGGACACTTTGCTCGAGAGGGGATTTTCTTCTGTTTCTGCTTGCAACTAAAGATGCCACTTTCTCAGAATCACCTCTGCACTCACCCCAGGGTCTGGCCTAGCACAGGAGCCCCTGGACCAGACCCCCCAGCTCCTGCCCCCCAGGGCTGTGCATTCTGGTCTGCCCTGCCTTCCAGAACAACACCCCAGCTGCTCTGGGTTCTGGACCCGGCTCTGATCATGGTTTTGTTTGTGAGGGGGTAGTGAGAGGGTCACTGGAGAACCCCTCTACTTCTTGTGAGGGTGGTGATTTTTCAAAGGGCGTGGCCTAGCCGAAGGACAGCTCCTTGGAGAATATGGTCCGGACATAGGTTGGGTCTGCATAAGCCACTTACCGGTGAAAAGTAAAGCCCTCTCACCAGCTGAGCGCCACGCTTTACCTTTGGCCGTGTGGGCAGTGTGGGAACAGTGTTCACAGTTCAGGTGTTTTCAATTTTGCAGCATGTTGGGTCAGGAACTAATAGCCCAGTCTCTTTTTCTAGTCACTCCCGAGCGCAGTCAGCCTTGGGCACGCACGCACGCAGTCTCCCGGCACTCCAGGGAGCGAGTGTGATTGTACTTGTAGGCCTGGCGTCCCGAGCAGCCCCTCTGGGTCAGGGTCACTCACTGCTCAGCTGTTGTTCGGCCAGACGTTGCCCTGAAGCCCCCGCGTTGGCCGTGTGCTTTGGTGCCAGACCTGTGTGGCTCGGGGCAGGGTGTGGAGTCTGCTTTCCTCTCCAGCCTGATTCCCCTGGTCGGGCGCAGCTGCACGTGGCACAGTCTTGAGTCCTGGGGGTGGCCGTGACCCTGGCTGGGCTGTCTTGGCCGCCTCTCCCGAGGTGCTGTCGGATCCCGGCTCTTCGTTTCGCTTGCTGCCATGGGATCTTTACCAGCCCCTCTAACTGCTGACCACCAGGACCAGGATTTTCATTGTTTGACACCCTCTCCAGGCTTCTTTCCAAATAAAGTCAGTCCCTCAGGAAAAGCTGTGGAATTCTGCCCCTCTCCCGGGGCAGAACCCCCGCCCCATGCACGGGAGCCGGGACAATCAGCCCGCTGCTCCTGGGGTGACGTCCTGCTCTGCGCCCGGGGGGCGGGGGGGGTTATCCCTTGATCTCAGCCCCTCACAGCAGGAACCTCTGCCCTGCAAGGGAATGGGCCCAGCACCCCTGGCTGCTGCGCCTGCCAGGAAGGACGTGCCCTGTAGTGGGAGCCGAGTGGGTAAAGGGAACGCAAGGGTTTCAACTGATGTGTTCAAGTCAAAGGTGACAAGCTGAAGTCCTAACCCCTAGCACTCCAGAGTGTGACCTATTTGGAAATAGGGTCTTTACAGAGGTAATCGAGTCAAGATGAGGTCAGTAGAGTGGGCTCTGATCCGACATGACCGGTGTCCTGTAAAAGGGGGGGAATTGGGACACAGAGACGTGCACAGAGGGAAGACGGGGTAAAGACGCACAGGGAGGATGCCGCGTGGGGACACAGTGGCCCAGCCCCAAGCTGGGGAGCACCACAGATGGCCAGCAGTCCACCAGCAGCTGGGAAGAAGCAAGCAAGGGTTTTCCTGCAGGGAGCAGAGCCCCGTGAGCACCCTGATTTCTGACTCCCAGCACCCAGAACTGCGCAACAAGACATTCCTGTCGTCTTCTCCATTCTGTGGCACTTGGTGACGGTGACCCTCCCTGCACGATGGCTTGGCGCGGCGCTTCTGCGGCGCAGGTCGTGAGACAGAGACGCCGGCACCTGCCCCGCTGGGCTGAGACTGCACAGGGCAGCAGCCTCGGGAGGAGGAGCCCCCTTTTCTCGGCTGCACCCCTCCAGAGTGGAGAGTCTGGAGTTTCTGCCACATGGAGCGGGGCAGGGGGCGCATGTGGTGGCTCAAATGCCGCAGAGTCACTGCTCTTCCTGGGATTTACTGCTCTTCTTGAGTAAATGTCTCTCCACTTGCTACACGCCCTTAGGACAATTTCCAGAGACTTTAAATCGTTGATTTTAAGTATTTGTTTTTTATCAGTTACACGGTTGTGTCACTGGGGAGAAGGTCCATCAAGGTCCTCACACCACCCTTCTGGAGGAGACACCTGCGTAGTTTTCGAAGGATTAGGATGGAAGGAGCTTCGGCTCATGGAGGAGGATTCCGCCTGGCTGCTTCCCCCTCCTCCCCATGGGACCAGAGTCCTCCCCCATCTCCCCTGCGTATAGTGGCCGCAACCAGTCCCCAGCCCCATGTCTCCCCCGCCCCCTGCAGAGCAGCAGGAACTCCCAACCCTCCTCACTCAGCAGAGGACTTGGCATCAGTGCCACCCTGGAGGGTGCCAGGAGCAGGTGCCTTCTGGGAGGCAGGTGCCAATCACAGGGAAAGGGGGGGAGGGGGCAGAGTGAAGTGGGCAGCAGGGCTGGGCTTCTCCTGGACTTCACACACAGGGACATGGCAGGGACATGGGGCCCCGAGCCAGGACCCTCACCAGATACCGTGTTTCCCCCAAAACAAGACAGGGTCTTATATTTATTTTTCCTCAAGAAGACAAGCTAGGCCGGGCGTGGTGGCTCACACCTGTAATCCTAGTACTCTGGGAGGCCGAGGTGAGCGGATTCCTCGAGGTCAGGAGTTTGAAACCAGCCTGAGCAACAGCAAGACCCCGTCTCTGCTATAAATAGAAAGAAATTAATTGGCCAACTAATATATATAGAAAAAATTAGCCAGGCATGGTGGCGCATGCCTGTAGTCCCAGCTACTTGGGAGGCTGAGGCAGCAGGATTGCCTGAGCTCAGGAGACTGAGGTTGCTGTGAGCGAGGCTGATGCCACGGCACTCACTCTAGCCTGGGCAACAAAGTGAGACTCTGTCTCAAAAAAGAAGAAGAAGAAGAAGGCCGGGCGCTGTGGCTCACGCCTGTAATCCTAGCTCTTGGGAGGCCGAGGCGGGCGGATTGCTCAAGGTCAGGAGTTCGAAACCAGCCTGAGCAAGAGCGAGACCCCGTCTCTACTATAAATAGAAAGAAATTAATTGGTCAACTAAAAAATATATATATAAAAATTAGCCGGGCATGGTGGTGCATGCCTGTAGTCCCAGCTACTCGGGAGGCTGAGGCAGGAGGATCGCTTGAGCCCAGGAGTTTGAGGTTGCTGTGAGCTAGGCTGACACCACGGCACTCTAGCCCGGGCAACAGAGTAAGAGTCTGTCTCAAAAAAAAAGGTCAGATCAGAGCTTGACATAAGCCCTTATCACCCAAGTAGTCGCACCTCCCATTGTACAGATGGGGAAACCGAGGCCCAAAGGAGAGAAGGGACTTTCACATAGTCCCTTTATGCACATCGTCTTGTGCATAAATGCGTGCGCGAGGCAGAGGATCGGGCGTGGCCGGGCACAGAGCAGGGCGGAGGCAAGCCCAGAGAGATACCGCGTGAGGCTATGGAGACAGCGTGGTCGGGCTGGAACTGTGCGCCGTGGGTGAGGACGATGGCCTTCTCCCACCGGGCTGGCAAGCGTCAACCTTGATCTGAACTTTCTACAGGGAGTTTGACAAAATGGGCCAGAAACCTAACAGGTTTGCAAACACTTTGATCCCAAAGTTCCACTTCTTGAAAATCATCACAAGGAAATCAGACAAGTCATCCAATAGGTGAACAAAGATGGTCATAACAACGTTGTTCACAGCAGTAAAAAAGTGCAAGAAATCCTAACAAAAGGGCATGGCTACATTAATTAGGGTGCAGCCACAGAAGGGTTCCCTGTCACCAACATAATGTGCGTGTGTGTGTGTACTGAAGCAATCTGAATGTACATCAAAGAATGAGAGGAGTAAAAGCATGAGGTGATTTCACTTCTTTATATCTTTCTGATGTGATTACTGACATTTCTTCTTTTTGTAATGAGTAGGTATGACTTTCATAGTAGACATGTTTCAGTGCTATCACCGTGCTGTAGGATAACTGCCCAACAACAACGTGGACCTTGGCAGGTAGTGAGTTCCCCAAGGGTGGAGGGTCCAAGTCCAAGGCTTCTAGCCAGAGAGACTTGGGCTGTAGTTGCAGGTCTAGGCCTAGAGTCATGAACTGCATGGCCTCAGCTAAGGCCTCTTTACCTCTCCGCAGCTCCGGGCTCGTCTCCAACCCGGGGAGCTGGCACCCGACCTGCAGGGCTGGGCCGTGGCGCAAAGCACCGAGCAGCTCGCCACTAACACTCGGTCCTTCTCTCCTGCGGGGTCCCTGCCTCCCCCACAGCCCCTCACCTCGTGAGCTCCAGCAGGTCTTTGAATAGTGGAGTGCTGCTGAGGTCCTCCTCCACGGCGATGTCCCTGCAGGGGCAACAGGCCAGGGTGAGGGGCCGCAGGCTGGAAAGGGGGCATGAGCGAGGCCAGCCAGGCCGTGCTGGACCTGGACAGTCACTTATGCGGAAGGCAGTGGGAGCCACTGCGGGCTTTGGCGCTGGGGAGGGGACACGTGGGCATGCGGAGTGGGGGACAGTGGTGGTAGGGATGGCGGGAAGGGTGGACAGCCCCACACCCCAGCAGCCCACACACTTGATGGTGCTGATGGCGTCTTCGTAGTAGTAGCAGCGCAGCCAGTTGGTGGGGTCGTCTTCCTCGGGGAAGTCCTTGAGGATCTTCACGAAGGAAAGCGGGAAGATGCCGGTGGCGCCCCGGACAGTGCCCTGGGGAGGAAGAGGAGGGAGCCGGTGGGCGAGAGGAGAGGCAACAGGGCTGCGCTTTGGAGCCCGGCCCCTGTACGGTGATGGGGAAGGCAGCGCGGTCTGGGTGCCCTTGACCTCATGTAGAGGGAGGAGGAGGAGGGTGGAAGTCCACCTGCCCCGCCACCTTAAGAAGGCTTCTATTTTGCCTTTAGAACAGCTCAAGATCTGAATTTATCCGGGCAGCTGCTTTCACCTCACTCATTCACTCGCTCATTCATTCCGCAAAGACCTCCTGAGCACCAGCTACGTGGCAGGCGCTGGGCTCTCACTACAGACACACGTCCATGTCCCCGTGGGGTTTCCATGGCAGTGGAGGATGACGTGGTGCATGTAAACGGTGACCTCTGCGGTGACCCGATGGCGCAGGTGTTAAGGGGGAAGTAGAGCAGGCCGGGGGGAGGAGGAGGGGTGGGAAAGGGCCCGAGGGTGACCCCCATTGATTCATTCATTCCACAGATACCACCGAGGCCCTACTCTAGACCAAGTCCCCAGAACTCTATTCCCCAGCCCGGGCCTCTCTCCCAGCGCTGCCTGGGCTTTGCACGCGGGCTCTCCTAATCTTCGCAATGACCCTATGCAAGGTGGATTATTGGCATGCCACTCCACAGACATACAAACCGCGGTTCGGCACGGTCTCCTTCCTGCCCCCCTGCCTCTCCTCCGACCTGAGGCCAGAGGCTGGCCAGCACACTGACACGCAGGACTTTCCAGAAAACGGGAAGGCAGTAGATGCTTCCTGTTTCTGGAGTGTGACCCAGAGACAGCTGTCAGGTGGCCATAAGCGCTGTTGAGTTCCTGAGACGGAGCTCCCGCACTGGGGTGAAATCGAAGCTGCTGATCGGCTAGACCAGCCGCCGCGTACTGCTCGCCTGCCCATGGACACCAGGGACCCGACTCCACCTCGATGGCCCCAAGACCCCTGGGGGCTGGCCCTGCCTCTGAGCCTGTCTTGGCATCCCCCCACCACCCGCAGGAGCACGGAGACTGAATAACCCGAGACCCAGAGCAAAAGGCTGGCCCAGCGCGGAGCCTCCGTGCAGTGATTTCCTGTCTCTGCTCCCCGAGTCGGCACGGAGCCCCTTTGCGGGCCGCGCCGGACAAAGCAGTGACCGGGACACGCACAGGCTTTGAAGCTCATCCAAGTCTCCCAAGGACCCTTGCGCCCAGCCAGGCGCCGTGCGTCCGGGCTCTGTGTGCGCAAGGCCGGCACATCTTCCATCTCCTCTACCCTTCCAGGAACCCGATGAAGAAACATTTACAGGAAAGGAAACTGTGGGATTGAGCAAGTTTCCAAAAGGCCACAAAGCTGTTTAAAAATAGCGCTAGGGGCTGGGCGCCGTGGCTCATGCCTGTAATCCTAGCCCCGTGGGAGGCCGAGGTGGGAGGACCACTTGAGGGCAGGAAATCAAGACCACCCTGAGCAAGAGCGAGGCCCTGTCTCCACTAAAAATAGAAAAAATGAGCCGGGCATGGTGGCTTGTGCCTGTAGTCCCAGCTACTCAGGAGGCTGAGGCAGGAGGATTGCTTGAGCCCAGGAGTTGGAGGTTGCTGTGAGCTAGGCTGACGCCACGGCACTGTAGCCCAGGCAACAGAGTGAGACTCTGACTTAAAAAAAAAATAAAAATAGCGCTAGGAAATGACTGAGACAGGCACTCTCGAGAGCGCACACTCTTCATTATGGTCTCTTACTGCTGCCTCCAAGGTAAGTGAATTTGTCCTGCATTGCTGACCAGTGGTTCTCCACCGGGGCGAGTTTGCCCCCGCCCATAAGCAAATGTCTGGAGACCTGCGTGATGGCTGTGACTGGCATCTAGTGGGGAGCCCAGGGAGGATGCTGAACACCCCGCAATGCCCAGGACAGCCTCGCCACAGGAGTTATCTGGTCCCAAATGTCAGTAGTGCCACTGCAGAGAAACCCTGTTGCAGACCAAGAAACTACACTCAGTAGGTTAACTTGCTTGTCAGAAGCAACCCATTTGTTGGGGTCGGAACCAAAGGCAGGTGCCTGGGCTCCAGAATGTTCTGCTCCTGCCACACACCTGCCTCCCCAGTGTCTGTGTTCCCGCAGGTTTCCCCACCTTCCTGCATCTTCAGGACCATCCTCAGATAGCATCTCTTCCCTCACTGCTCCTCGGTCTCTGTCCCCCACCATACCTAAGGTTAGCTCATCTCCACCCTCACCTGCATCTTCACCTGCAGCCTCACCTGCACCCTGACCTCCAAACTCACCTCCACCCTCACCTGCACCCTGACCTCCAAACTCACCTCCACCCTCACTACCAAACTCACCTGAAAACTTACTTCCAAATTCACCTCCACCCTGACCTCCAAACTCACCTCTACTGTCACCTTCAAACTCACCTACAAACTCACCTCTAAAGTCACCTCCAGGTGGCTCACACCTGTAATCCTAGCACTCTGGGAGGCTGAGGCGGGTGGATTGCTCAAGGTCAGGAGTTCGAAACTAGCCTGAGCAAGAGCGAGACCCGTCTCTACTAAAAATGAAAGAAATTAATGGCCAATAAATATATAGAAAATATAGCCAGGCATGGTGGCGCATGCTTGAGCCCAGGAGTTTGAGGTTGCTGTGAGGCTGACGCCACGGCACTCTAGCCCGGGCAACAAGTGAGACTCTTCTCAATATAATAATAAAAAATAAATGAAAAGGAGAGAGATATTTGGATACGAGACACAAACGATCCACATAGGTAGGAAGATCATGTGATGATGGAGGCAGAAATTGGAGTACAGCCATATCAGAACACAAAGAATTGCTGGCACACCAGAGACTAGCAGAGAGGCATGGACAGCTTTTCCTAAAAGCTTCCAGAAGAATCAAGTTGCTACACCTTGATTCAGACTCTGACCTCCTGAACTTGAGGGATAAATTTCTATGTTTGAAGCCACCCAGTTCATTGGTGATTTGTCACTGCGCCCTAGGGAAACTGATATAAGTGGTTTTCTTTTTCTTGTAAATGTGAAGAGGTAATTACACATTCTGCATCACATTCTGTGTTGATCACAATGTTTGTATACCTCTCCCAGCTTATAGAGGACTGTCTGGGTGCTTTCTGTTTATTCTTCAATTAGTTTTCTTTGTTTTTTTTTTTTTTTTTGGGACAGAGTCTCACTTCGTTGCCCAGGCTAGAGTGAGTGCCGTGGCGTCATGCTAGCTCACAGCAACCTCAAACTCCTGGGCTCAAGTGATCCTGCTGCCTCAGCCTCCCAAGTAGCTGGGACTACAGGCTTGTGCCACCATGCCCGGCTAAATTTTTTCTATATATATTAGTTGGCCAATTAATTTCATTCTATTTATGGTAGAGACGGGGTCTCACTCTTGCTCAGGCTGGTTTTGAACTCCTGACCTTGAGCAATCCACCCGCCTCAACCTCCTAGAGTGCTAGGATTACAGGCGTGAGCCACCGATCCGGCCTCAATTAGTTTATTTCCATGAATTGTTTTGTGTGTTCTCAATAAATGCATAAATAAAAAAAAAATAATAAATAAACTCACCTCCACCCACATCTCCCAACTCACCTCCCAACTCACCTCCATTCTCACTTCCAAACTCACCTCTACCCTCGCCTCCAAACTCACCTCCAGCCAGTCTTTGTTGATCCGACTGAGAAGGAAGATCACGTCTCCAGCTCTGAAATTCAGCTCCAGTTTGCTGTTCCCAGTGAAGTCAAACATGGCCTGAGGAGAAGGGCAGGGTAAGGAGGGAGGGTGGAAACATCTGAAGTACCTTACATACTTTGGAGTCCCATTTTACAGATGAGGAAACCGAGGCTCACGGAGGATGAGTGACTTGTCTGAGGCCACCTGATTTGTTAGTGGAGCAGCTGGGCCCTGAACCCAGGTCTCCCTGGCTCTGGAGTGGCTGCTGTCTCCAGACCTGGCGGGAGGAGCACACAGGGGAAGGACCTGGCACCTCCCCAGCCCCAGGCCCCCATAAGCCCCAGCTGCTCCCTGCCAGGCTGACTTTAAGACGCCTGTATGTAAATGTGTCCTCTGTGAGCTCCTCGAAGGCAGGGCCTTGTCTGCGTCCTCCCTGCCACTTCAGTCCCCAAGGCAGGGCGGCCAGGGCGAGCTGGCTGAGCCGTGGGTCCCCCTTAGCCTCTCCATGCTGCTGGCGTTCCCTCCCCCCAGCTGGGCGGGGGTCCCATGTCAGAGGCTGGGGCTGCAGCCCCTCACTTCCCCCAGTGCCCAGCACCACCCCAGGGACACCGCGGCGGTGCCCAGCGGGAGAGGCTCGGTGGCAGACAGGTGAAGCAGGGCTGCTGCGAGGGGGAGGGCCTGGTGCGGGTTACCTCTGCTCGCGGAGCTGCCATGTGGTCGAAGCCAGCGCCTTGCGGGGACATGCTCTTGCTGCGGAGAGAGGAGACTTGAGATTCTCTCTGGGCCCAGCCCCTGCATCTGCACCCGGAGGAGACCCTCGCCAGGGCGGGAGGGGTGGGAGAGCGAGAGGGTGTTCACACGCAGCTACCGCCGCTGCCCTGGGCCAGGACACCGGTCCCTGGACTGTCACATGGGCCTGGAGGCGGGATCGCTCTTTGCTCTTTGTTTTTAATATTTTATTTTTTTTTATTAATCCTCGCAAATCAAATTCAGCTGCTCATCAGAAAAACATAATCCATCACGACCAGGTGGGCATCATCCCAGAGATGCTGGCTGCTCTCTGTGGACCAGGAGGCGAGCACGTGGGAAGAGGACGCACATTTGCTCGGTGCCCTTAACTTGCCAAACCTTTCGCCTTTGCTCTCTCTTTTGCTCCCTAAACCAACCTCTGGTGTAATTGTTATTCTACATTTTCAGCTGGGGAAACTGAGGCTTGGCGAGGTGATGGATCCTGCTGCCGGGCCCACGGCTGCCACGTGGCATAGCTGGGATTCACACTGCACCCACCTGGGCGCCCAGGGGAGCTGCCAGCAGACATTGGCTGGAGGCGGGAAGGGAGGAGCCGGGGAGGGAGGAGCCGGGGAGGGAGGAGCCGGGGAGGGAGGAGCCGGGGAGGGAGGAGCCGGGGAGGGCAGGGCCCAGGGGCTCTGTCCTGCTTTCCCTGGGATTCTTGGTAGCAGCAACCTTGACTTTGGAAGGCCAGCACGATTTCACTGGCTTGGAGTTTTGCTTGGGAGGGGGCCGGGAGGGAGGGTGGGATCTCTGGAATGAGGCAGCAGCAGCGGCCTGTGCAGGCCGATGCGGTGCGACCAGAGCCACAGCCAGCCTGGAGAACTGCAGCAAGCCAGGGGGGTGCTTCTGTGCTGGATTAAGTGGCTCTGCCCTCCTGTCCGCCCCCACTCTTTCCAGGCACCCAGAGCTCCTGGGCCGTCCCCAGTGGCTGCTATGGCACCAAACTCTCCAGGGTCAACGTCCCAGTCCCCGTCCGCCAGCCCTCCCTGTCACAGGCCCAAAGTCTGACTTTCCAAACCCACCTAACAAACTGAACCAGCCTGGAGTGTCCAGGGGTGCACTGTTCTCAGTCCTCCTCTCCTTCCAGGGGGAAGAGATGACTCGCCAGCAGGGGCCCAGGGCTCTGGCCAGGGAGCGCAGGGGACGGGGACAGTCACTTACACTTTCCGGGTGCGCGGGCGGAGCCGCCGGAGCGCCTGGGGCACCTGCTCTGAGTCGTAGGGCGACTGGTAAAAGAAGATCCGGACGTCCTCGTCCATCAGCACCCAGACGGGCATGCTGAGGAGGCCCTGTGTGGGAGGGGACGCAGGACAGCAGTGTCAGCAGGAGACCTGGACGCCCCACCCAGCTGCCCAGCCCAGCCCCTGGCGCTGGCCCTCCTCTCTAGCAATGCATCCTAAGCCTCCTCTCTAGCAATGCATCCTAACAGAAATAGGCAAATTTAAAAAAAACTTCAGCAGGCCAAAGGTTTAACACTTCTCATGCTTTGCTCCTGGGCCCAAGGCCAGGAGGGACCACTGGCATGAGAACATGAGAGGAGTCCATTTGGAAAAACCCTAAAGTTCTCCAGAAACAACAAGAATGATGACAGGTAACATGGCCTGGCAGTGAGTGTGCCCAGCACTGCACTGGGTACCACGTGTGTGTCCTTGCCACACACCTCACCATAACCTGTGAGTTAGGATCCGAGAGCTGAAGGGACCTGCCCAAGACCACACAGCCTAGCAAGTGACAGAGCCAGGCACCCAGAGCCACCTGCTGTGAAAGCTGCCCCTTTGCTCAAGGTGAGACAATGGTGTGGGGGAGGGCTCCCAAAGTAATTAATATTAGTTGGTGACATTACAGCCTAAAGAATGCTTCCTGGCACTTCTTTATCTCATGTCACATTTGGGGAAACTGAGGTTTGGAGAGGGAAAGTGGCTGATCTAGGGGCAGAGCTAGGAAGTGGCAGGGTCAGGACTCAAGCTCTAATCTCCTCGTTCCATCCCGAGCTGGTGACACCAACCACCATGCAAGGACCCTGAAGCTGGGAGGACTCAGGCACGCAGAGTCCCCACCCAGCTCCACACTGCACCAGCTCCTGGAACTCTGGGGTTGGCTCTGGGTGCTACAGAGGGTCTCGTGGAGGCAGCAGGACAGGGAGGGGTGGGGGATGGAGAGCCCGGAAAAGGCTGTGGTATGGGAGGGGCGGAGGCAGCCGGGCAGGTGTTTAAGGAGCCAGGTGCTCCTGGGATCGAATCCCAGCTCTGCCACACACCAGCCAGGTGGCTTTGGGCAAATGTGGCTCTAGCTGCTCATTAATAAAATGGGGATGATAGTAACAGCAGCTCCCTCATGGGCTTGTGTGGAAATTAAATACGTAAATATACGCACAACACTTAGAACAGCACCAGGCACGAGCCAGTGACCATCTAAGTTCGATTTTGTCATTGTTGCTGTTATTTCTATTACAACATAGCACAACGGGTAGGAGCTCAAACCCTGGAGTCTCAGAGATGTGGGTTCAAATCCCATTCCTCCCACCTAACTGCTCTGTGACACTGAGCAACTTCCCCTCTCTGTGCCTCCGTTTAAGTAGGGATAATAGTATCAGACTATTCATTTATCCATAGACATGTCTCAAGAGCCCCCGGGTTGCCAGCCCGAGCACTTTGCACCGTTTCAGGCAGTTGTCATTATCACGTGATTCATATTCTTCATGAGTGGGCAGAAGTTACAGAAAATCGGGCTTTTCTCATAGCTGTCCAACACTGGCACAAGCAGCCTAGGTCAGGGCAGAGTGGTAGTGAGCTCCCCATGTCTGAAGGTGTGCAAGCACAGGATGTAGTTGCCATAGCAGAGATTCCTGCATTGGCTGACCTCAGGCTTCTGGTAACTCGATTGGACATACGTAGGCAGAGGTGGTGGGGTCCTCTGGGCTGCTGGCTGCTAATGACAAGTGTGGAGTGAAGAGTCCCAGCTCCCCAGCCTCTCTTCCCCCCTCGTCTTCCTCCCTCCCTCCCGGCAGAGCCCAGGCCCCTTTCCAGCCCAGAGGGCGGAGGGTGGAGCCCCAGCCTCCAGGAGCTCCCTTGAGGGGAGATGCCTCCAGTGTGGGTTCCCCTCCCTCCCTCCTCCTCCCTGTTGAGTCCAGATGGCTCCAGCCACCTGCCCTCCCCTCCCTCCTCCCACCTCCTCTGACCTCTTGCTCCCTCCCTCCATTAAGAGTCAAGAGTTCTCACGTCTGGAAGCAGGTTCACAGTTTACAAAGCACTTTCACATCCTTTTCTCAGTAGCCCAACTTCACTCCCGTGAGACCAGAGGTCAGGAGGTACTGTCCCATTTCATAGGTGGGAAAACCAAGGCTTAGAGAGGATGGTCAACTTGCCCAAATCACCCAGCAGTCAGTGTCAGAGCCAATGCTAAAGAGACTCCTAGTTCAGTGCTCCTCAGCCCTGAGGACGCCTGTCATCTAAGAGGAGGGCTTCCCTCACCAGCTTCCTGAGGTTGCTCCCAGTGACGGTGAGCTCACTACCTCACGAGGAATGCTGCGCTTTTTCTGGATGGCTCTGACTGGCGAAGTCCTTGCCCGACCACCTTGGCCTCTGCCTCTAAGATGTTCCCTCCTCTGTCCCCCCCCTTCACAGGGACACCCACAGTTTGCAGGTTGGGGAATAGGCTAGAGTGCCCAGCCAAGACCCGTGAGTGCAGCTGAAACCCAGCCTGTGCTCAGGGGAGGGGTGTGTGCTGGCCTGGATGGGGGCTGACATATATTTTCCTAGTTTAAGGATTAAATTTAGTAATGTACATGCTCTGCCCAGAGCATTTAAAAGTAATATGTTCCAGACAAGGCCCCTGTTGCCTTGAGGCATAACAAAAGCAAGGTGTTGCCTAGAGGCATAACAAAAGCAAGGTGTTGCCTAGAGGCATAACAAAGGACCTGAGTTGCAAGTAAGCAAGAGCTACCCTGCCCCACGGCACTGGTGGTCTGGAGGCCACATGATAAACACATTGTTCCTGTGATTGCTGTGTACACCCTATAAGATGGATGGTTAGTCAATGATGGGTAAGACCCCTCAAGGGAGGGGCGACCTAAGCCATGCACAGCTGCCAGGGTTCAGCCGAAGAGCTTAGGGGGTCACCCTAAGAAAAGCTGGGGATGAGCAATGCCCCCTGTGACTTGCCTTGCCCATCCTTGCTAATCTCGGCCCATGATCTATGCCTAGCGCTTAGAGCAACCACCTGGAAACCTTGAGCCAGGGGATATCTGCTTCCCTAAGGCTACGTATTCCGGAATTTATGGCCATTGTTGCAATGCCTGGGTGGTTACGTACAAGGAACTAACTTTAATTTTTAGAGTATAAAAATAAAACTGACCCAGTGCATTATTACTTGAGTCAACCGTTTGTACGTGTGCCCGCGTTTTTCTTTGTGTTCTGCATTTGGGTTTTGTGTTCCGTGTTCATCCTCCATCCTGTCAGCGGGCCTCGACAGGGGGCCCTCTCCGGTTTCACAAATGCGCTGTGCGAGCGACGGTGGCCTGGTCAGCCACGCCCCGGGTATGTGGACATACATGTGCCTCCGAGTGGTTGCACAATCCACTGGCCGGTATTCCCGCCCTGCAGTGGGTGCCTCAGGCACGGCGTCGAATTCACTGCCCATCCTAACGCCGGCACAGACATTCCCCTGTGGGCTTGGAGCACTAGTCAAGATTCGTCCATTCAAATGTGGCTCCTTATACCGTCTCTGTTGCTCCTGCCCCAATCCCCAGGACCCTGAGCTCACACTGTTTCTCTCCCCAGGACACGGAGCAGGAGAGCCAGGCCGAGTGCGTGTGCAAAGCCATGCCCCAGCTACCACCCCCAGCACCCCGAGCCCTCCCAAGTGCCGGGAGGACCTGGCCCACCCATACCTTCATGTAGGCGTTGAGGGCGGGGATCCGCATCTCGGCGATCTCCTGCTTCACGCCCACGTAGACTTTGGCTGAGGAGGCAAAGAGCATCCTAGGAGCCGGCCGACATGCCCTGGGCCCGGGGCTGCCCCTGCAGGCCAGGAGTCCCGGCCAGAGCCCGCTCTGCCGGCCGGCCTCCTCCTCCTCCTCATTATCTTCTCCCCCACGGCAGCAGTCACGCTGGCTCCATCCACCGCCCAACTCACATTCTCTGAGTCACACTGTCACCAGCTGAGATTTTTCTTGTTTTACTTGTTTGTTTATTGCCTGTCACTACACACACACACACACACACACACACACACAACACACACACACACACACACACGGGATTCTTAGTTTCCAGAGAACAGGGTCTTTGCCTGCTCTGCTCACGGCTGCATCCCTGTCACCTGGGACAGTGCCTCTCAACCCCAGCTGCACATTCAAAATCTCATTGTGTAGGAGTTGCCCACAACAGTGAAACCAGAGCCTCTGGGTGGCTCTCAGGAATCAGGATTCTTTCACTCTCTCAAGGAATTTCCAACATGCCACAAGGCTAAGAACCAGGGGTCTAGGATCATGCCCAGCTAAATGAATATTTGTTGAGTGGATGAAGGACAATTCCTCAAACGCAAGGCAGAATGTCCTGGGGAAGGGGAAACTGATGGTGACCGACTAAGAGACAAATGTCCCCTCCAGGAGCCTGCAGGTGGGGGCACTGGGGGAGCCGGTCACCCAAGCGTGAGTGAGGCCTGTCTGGCCGCAGTGTCCGCGGGACAGGCGGGTGGTGCCGGTGGTGGCAGGAGGGTCTAGGCTAGAGCTAGGCACCAGGGAGTTGGTAGCAAGAACGCGACCCCCGGGGTCAGCTGGCTGGCGAGTGTCGGAAGGAGAAGGCAGAGGCCGGGTGTGTCCGGAGGACACCGAGCTCCGAGGAGCGGTGAAGGCAGATTCATCAGTGGGGAGCTGGAGGAGGAGCCAGGGATGCGGGAAAGAGATTGGGAGACGCCGTGGCCATAGAAGGTTGAAGGAAATGTAGCAGAGGAAGGAGCAGGGTGTAGGGACGAGGCCGAAAGGAGCCCACGAAAGCCAGAACGACAGGTCACGGCCTCCCCACCAGAGAAGGTCAGTGGGGCAGCGAGAGTGTCGTGCTGGTGCGGGGCTGCCCCACGCAGAGCGGAAGGAAAGAGCCGGGCGGGCGCCGTACCTGGGAGCACGGGCAGGCTGCAGGCCAGGGGGCTCTTGCTCTCGGGCCCGAAGCGCTCCTCCAGCTTGCCCTGCAGGGCGTGGAACTGGCGGTAGCGGCGGTAGATGAGGTACTTGGAGCCCCCCTTGGTCTTCACCTCGATGACGAAAACCTAGGAGGACAGAAGCCAGGCGGGGCTCAGAGGCCAGAGGCAGAAGCTAAAAGGGAGGGTGAGGGGTCAGAGGTCAAAGGGGTAGCGCAGGGCTTCCCGGCCTCAGTACTGCGTTGCGGCTGGATGACGCCGTGGGCGCTGTCCTGGGATGTGACGCAGCAGTCACAGTGTCTCAGGGTGCTGCCAAATGTCCCCCACAGGGTGAAATCGGCCCTCTGGAGAACCACTGAGATAGAAGTTCAGAGATGAGAGAGTTGGAGGTGCAGAGGTCAGAGGGTAAAAGTTCAGAGGTCAGCTGGGTGGAGGTCCAGAGGGCAGAGGGTGAAGGACCCGGGGTCTCTCTTACAAAGTGGCTGGTGAAGCCTCTCTTCTCCTCGATGTCGGCGATGTTGGCCGAGATGGCAACGTCATCCGGAAGCTGCTCAAAGTCGCTGCGGGAAGTAGAAAAGAAGCCCTGGTTATCACCCCGGCGCGTGCGCGCTGGCTGTGAGACAGTGCGCAGAGCAAACCGGCTGCAGCTGGCGTCCGCGCCCCACGCCCCTCCTGCGCCAGGCCCGGCGCTGACGCGGGGACACCGAGACAGCAGACACAGGCCAGGCCTGGACAGTAAAGGCTGTGACACTGGGGACCGTGGTCGGTGGCCGTGTTATAGCCTAGCAACCGCTGTGCAAACGCATCTAGGCGTCCAGGAACCAGGTATCGAGCCCCTCCTCCGTTCCGGGCCCTGTCCTAGGCCCTGGGTCTCAGGGGTAAGTGAAGTCAACACACGCCCTGGGTGGAGTGCTGTGAGCCCGGTGGGGAGAAAGGCTGATTACGCCCCGGCCGGGGAAATCCACACAAAGGAGGTGGCATGTGAGCCAGGTCTAGAAGGTCCGACAGGAGCCCACTGGGTAGGAAGCAGGGCAGGGTGTTCCATGCAGGGGGAGCAGCATAGCCTGAGGAGAGGGCCCAGACCAGTGTGAGCTGAGAGTGAACTGGCAGGGGAGGAGGAAGAGGGCCTCAAGGGCCGGATCAGGAGCTTCCATCGGCAACAGGGAGTCATGCCGGGCTCTGGAGGGAAGCAGAACACGGTAGGATCCTGGCTCTAGGAGGCTGACTACGGCAGCCGTATGGAGAGGAAGGAAGCGATAGAGACTTAGGGAAGAGAGCACCGCTGGGAGGCCCGGATGTGGTCTGGCTGAGAGATGACAGGGGCCTGAGTCAGACGGCAGGGACAGGAGGAAGCGACAGACAAAAGGCCACCACCCTGGGCAGACACTGTGAGCATTTGCTGTGTCCCCTGCTGCTTCCTGGCTCACCAAGCACCACTTGTGTTCAGAGTGGCAGTGCGCATAGGCGGTAGGTCATGGCTGGTCTAGCCAAATGTAATGATCCTGTTCCCAGCCTCCCTTGCAGCTAGGAGAAGTTCTGGCCGATGAGATCTAAGAGGAAACCCGAGGCGGGGGCCTCTCCAGAGCATTTGCTTTCTGGATCCGGAGGGATGGACAAGAGCAGCACAGTCTCCTCCCTTGGAGGAAGCCTTGAAAGCACGTTTGACACCCGGATCTGCAGCAGCTATGTTGCATCCAAGAGACAAAACACGAGGAAGACCACGGGACTCTGGGATGCTGGTCCTGAAGTCGCCGACCTGCAGAACCAGCCGTGGCCTACCTCTGGACTTCTTGTTATGGGGAAAATAAGCCCCTGTTTGTTTAAGCCGCCTTCAGCTCCTCTGTTGCCTGCACAGCCTGATGCGTTTCTGGCAGACATATCACTCATTTGCAAGTTGTTCCTAAGTTACGACCAGCAGGCATTGGGCACTGTTTGGACGTGGGAGTGAAAGAAAGGGCAGTGTCAAGAGTGACATCCACACTTCTGACCAGGGTGGGGAGCCCGGGAAAGGTTGATGGACTCGGTTTGGAACATGACAATTTGAGAGGCCTCCTGGGCACCCGGGTCGACGGCTGGCAGGAAGCTGGTGCACAGCTCTGGCACTCAGCATGGGGGTCTCGGCTGGAGTTGGGGGGTAAGGACCATCTGCTCGCGGCTTGTGTCCAGGACTCCCAGTGGAAAGCTGTCAGCGAGCCGAGGAGGGGCCGAGAGGGACAGACAGAGAAAGAGAAAGCCAACGGCCAAGGAGAGGGCGTGGCCAGGGCTCGCTGAGTCCAGCCGCTTGTAGGCAGATGGAGAAACGAGAAGCAGTTGTGATTCTTCCAGCACAGCGATTGGGCAACAGGGTCCAAAGCCTCAGGAGTCCACACACCCTAGACCCAGCCCACGCTGGTCCCGCCTGACCTGGGACCCTCAGGCTGCGTCAGAACTCAGGAAGCCTCCAAGCAGAGGTGACTCAGGATGGCGGTGGGCGGGCAAGGAAATACCCCACCCCAGCCCCAGGGCATCTCCGTGGCTGCTGGCGATGTCCCCACTCACTTTCCGCACATGCGTGGTGACACCCTGGGGAGAAGCTTCCTCCTGCAGTTTCTCCCCTGAGGCTGTGCGTTTCATGGGTGTCTTCCTCTGCAGTGTGACGGGTGGGGCAGGAAGGAACTGGGAGGGCAGGCATGGCCCTGGGCAGGGAGTCAGGCAGGTTGGGTAATGAGAACTGCAACTACCTGATTCCTAAGTGCACACCACGCACCAGGCACTCTTCTAAGATGAGGTCGCCTTGGTGCAGACAAGGAAACTGAGGCTCAAAGAGTCAACTAACTTGCCCAAGTGAGTCGGGAAGCTGGGATTTGAACCCAAGCAATCTGGCTCCAGAATTTTGCTTCCAAACGCTGCTCCACTGCCCCTCATTCTGGCTCCCAGCAGCTTGCTGCAGGAACTTAGGTAAATCCCAGCCCTTCTCAGCCTGTGTCCCCATCGGGAATAATAGTATTAATAACTTGAGCATATCCTTACGTAGCACAGTGTTCCGAGCCCATTAGGACCCGTGTGCTTCTTGGACCTCATAGAGTAGAGGCGTTGGACACTGAACCAATGACTAGGTAATCTGAATGCTCATCGTCCTACAAAGGAGCAGCACATGGTGTTTTGAGCTATGGCAGGAGCCTGGCCATTGCTGTAGTCGCGCGGAGAATCAATATTGCAGCAGGCAGGAGAGATGGGAGCTGGCACGCGTACAATGACTCAGGCGCTGTCAGAGGGCAGTCGGGGAGGGCTTCCCGGAAGAGGTGGCACCAGTGGTCAGCCACGGCACGGTAGGAAAGGCCTTTTGGCAGGGGGAATGGCAAGTGCAAAGCCCTAAGCCATGCAAGAGGGAGCATTCGAGGACCTGTGGGCTGCTGAGCACACGGAGCACAGAGTGTGGGGTGGAAAATGAGACATGAGCCCGAGAGAGGCCGGCGCACACGTGAGGGAAAGTTGTGCCTCACAGAGGGGCTGTGAGTTTATCCTGAGGTGGGGGCCGAGGAAGGGGCTAAGCAGGGATGGTGTCAGCGGAGGGTTCAGGCACAGGGACAGCGCTACACAGGTGAGGCCAGATTCCCTCGGGAAGACTCGTGTCTGCGTGCTGCCTCCTTCTCCTCCTCTGTAAAATGGGGACAGTGTGTTTTTGAGTAGCCATGAGGTCCCATCTGCACCAAGCATGGCCCTAAACTCCCCAGGAGGGCAGTGACTCTGCTCACGCCGTGTCCCCAGTGCCCAGAACAGGCCTGGCATGTAGTAGGCGCTCAACACGCGGCTGCTACCCCCACTGTGTTTAGTGAGGCGCCCGGTCGGCAGCGCCAGGGCGGCCTGGCTGCCGGGGGTGGGCGCAGAGGCTGCTGCCCAGGGACGCAGCGGGGGTGCCGCAAACCCCACCGGGAGTCCCCTGGGGCTGCCGCTCCCTCGGAGACCTGGCCAGGCCGGGCGGTGACACGCTTGGGCCCACCACGCACTCGCTGCTCATGGAAGTCCACTGTGGGGTCTCCAGTGGGGAGGCCGAGGGTTGGAAGGGCCCTTGGAGGGCAGCTACTTCAGGTGTCCTGGCACCTTGCGCGCAGCAGGTGCTCAAGACATGCCTGTTGGAACCAGCTGCGCCACCCTGCAGCGGCCCTCTCCGTCCTTGGATGTCCGGGGGTTCTAGGAAGTCCTGCTTCCTGAGCCTGCGCCCTCTCATTGTGCCCTGCGCCTCGGCCTCAGGCAGAACCGCCAGGCTGCTGCCCGTGGGGCGTTTGGGGTGCAGGAGCCCACAGGCCCCGTCCCCTGTGAGGGTCAAGGGAGTGGGAGGGAGGGAGCACACAGTCCCGCCAGCCTTGGCGTCATCAGCTGAACGCTCTGCCCTGAAAGCAGGAAGTGCCCCAAGCCTCTGACGAGGACGACAACAGCTGGGTGCTGGCGGAGAAGCCTTTGCCCCTGAACTTGCGGGAAGGAGGAGTCTGGCTGGACAACCGCTCCCAGCCCCTAGCACGCCCTCTGGGGCTCAGGAGGGCCATTCTGACCCCCTGTTTGCTGCTGCTGCTCCTCCCCGCCCCTCAAGCCTGCACTTGACCTTCGACCTCTGGAACTTCCACCTCAGGTTTCCATTCGAGCCCCAGGCCCCCTGCCGGCCCTTTGCTGCCCCCATCTGTCTCTGCTGGCCTCCACACAGAGGACAGGAGCACCCACCTCCAGAGGTCACCTGCTATTCCAATCCAAGGGGGCAGGAGCCACGCTCCCTGTCTTCGGGGTCCCCGAAGCTCAGAGCACAGACCTGACTGCCGAGGAAACGTTCAACGTGCTTGCTGAGAGGGAGGCTGGGCCCCCTGGAGGCTGGGCACCATGGAGGCTGCACTCTGAGCCCCAGCTCTGCGGTCACTCGACCTGACCCTCAGTGAGTCCTTTACCTTCCCTAGGCCTCAGTTTCCCCATCTGTGCAATGGCAGGGTTGGACTAGAGGAATCTAGAACATTTTCCAGCTCAAAGATCCATTCATCACTTCATTCAGCCACATTTATTGAGTACTTGGTATATACTGGTGCTGTTCTAGATCCCAGGGATACAGCAGTGATGACAACAGACAAAAACCCTCATGGAGCTTGCTCCTAGTAGGGGAGCCAAGGAAAAATAAACATATATGAGTAAATGATATCATGCCAGTAACATAAGGACTGTGCATAAAACGAAAACAGGGCAAGGGGTCAGAGAGCAATGAGGTAGGTGCTGTCAGGGAAGGCTTCTTGGAGGAGGTGGCACTTGAGCCAAGCCCTGAATAAACAGGGAGAACAAAGCAGATGCTGTGGCTGAGTTTGAACAGAAGATGGGAAGCCGTTACTGACCATAGTGCAGAGCAAAGAGGCCCAGCCTGGGACCCAGGACACCTGTGTTCCCATCCGGACACTGCCGCCCACTCGCCCACTCGTGGTGTGACCCTGGGCAGGCCACTCCCGCCCCTTGAGCCCTGCTCTTCTCATTCGCGCCTGGGGGTGGTGAGCTGCAACTCAAAGTTTCCTTAAAGCACTTCTGAGAGTCTGCGTTTCCGAGTATTTGGGTTCTGACTCAACCCCCACCTCCCATGTCCTTAGGGGCTGCAAGAAGGGCCCACCCTGGCCCCAAGCCTGCCGGGAGCAGTGAAGGTCCCAGGGGGTCAATGCCCTGGCACTCACCTCTCGGCTCGCAGCTGCTGGGCCAGGGCCATGGCGGGCAGTGTCCAGGGGAGCAGGTGGAGGAGGGTCTTGCCCAGCCAGCCCAGGCTGAGTTCCTCTCTCACTTCCTCCAGCCACCCTGCCTCACGGTGCGTCTCAGCCTGTGGTCCGGGGAGTCCCCAGACGCTGCCTCTGGGAGGGCTCCGCTGCTGTCCCCACTCTGGGAAGGCTCCCCACTGCTGTCCCCACTCTGGGAAGGCTCCCGCTGCTGTCCCCACTCTGGGAAGGCTCCAGCTGCTGTCCCCACTCTGGGAAGGCTCCCCACTGCTGTCCCCACTCTGGGAAGGCTCCCCACTGCTGTCCCCACTCTGGGAAGGCTCCCGCTGCTGTCCCCACTCTGGGAAGGCTCCTCCAGGCCGACCGGGTCTCTCCTGGGCCCTCACTTCCCCTTTCCGCCTCCCAGCTGCACAGCGATTGGGGAAGTGCCCACCCTCGGTGCCAAGGCTGCAGGAGGAAGTGCAAGGCTACACTTCCGTGGTGCCCATCCCTGGTGCCAAGCCTCGGCTGGGTTTCAGAAGCCCGCTCCGCCAGACGTGGGGCTCCACTGCTGACTCAGCCACCAAGGGGCCTGTGGCCTCGGGAGTCACTTCTCATCCTCTGGCCCATCAAACCCAACCCTCCCTCCCCCACTGCCACGCCTTTGCCCAAGCCATTCCCCAGGCCACCTTGCCTGTCATCCCCGAGGCCCAAGACAAATGCCACCTCCTCCAGGAAGCCCCCCCCCTGTTCCCCCGACCTCTATTGTACTAGAGTTTGAAGGCTGCTTTATGCTCCTGCCTTGCTCTTACCCTGGTGTTTGGGGTTGTCCTTTCCCCACCCCCAGACCCCCAGGCCCAGCCAATCCTCTCCACTGAGCTGCCACCGGGCACACCCTCCTCCCTGCGTAAACTCTTCAGCACCTTCACCCTGTGCTCAGGAGAAAGTGCAAACTCACCCTGCCTGTCTCAGAAGCCTTCGAGGCCCTGCAGGCTTTCCCAGCTCCCTCTCCCTAGCTCCCTCCTTCTCACTGGCCTCCTTCCCACTTCTGGAATGCTCCAGGATGTCTGCCCTCAGGGCCTCCATGCACGGAGCTCCCTCTACTGGAATGCCCTCTCCCCGCCTCCTCTTCTCCTTGTCCTGGAAGCCACCTCCGCAGTGAGGACTTCACTGACCCCTGACCCCTAACGAAGGCCCTCCCTGTTCCTTGTCACACAGCCCCTGTGCCTTGGCTGCAGAGCACTGGCGACGCATGTGACTGCATGCTCATGGGTGCACTGACACGCGTAATGACTGCCTCCCGGCTAGCAAGGGGCCCAGCACACGGCAAGCGCTCAGCCGGTATGCAGTGGACGGACGGGCTGCTTCTGGCAGGTGGCTGTTTGGTTCCGATAGGAGCTCTCCCAGAGGCAGTCCTCGGGAGGGATGGGCACAGCAGCTCCGACAGTCCACGCACACGCACGTCCGCACTCCAGTGTCGCAGAGGCAGGGCAGGAAGGCGGCAGAGGGGGGGACGGGTGCGGAAGCAGTGGTGCCTTGGCAGCCACGGGCATCACCGAATGTGACACGGGCAGCCCTCCTTCGCCCTAAGCCCACGCCGCATTGGGAACCCCAGGACTCGGACAGGGGTCTGTGGGGACAGAGCCGGCCCCGTGGAGCCTGGAGCCAGGGCCTCCCACCCCAGGTCTCTCACGTCCCAGATGCAAGGAGCAGGACAGGAGCCATTCTCAGGATACCTAGGGCTGAAGCTTCGAGCCCTCCTGGGAACCCCTTCCTGCTCTACCCAGCACCCCCGGGGCCGTCTGCCCCAAACCGAGCTCAGGGTGGAGCCAGAGTCCCCGGGATGGAACGTGCTCTGGCCCAGCCGGCAGCCCCGACCCGGTGAGGGTCCCCTCATTTCACTCAGCCAGGCCAGGGACAAGGGCTCTTCTGAAACCAGGATCCTTCACAGACTCCTTGGGAGACAAAGTCAGAGAAAGACAGAGGAAGGGACAAAAAAAAAAAAAAGCAAAATGGAGAGATATGATCAAGAGCTCTTTCCTGAACAAGGCACTTGGAATACAGAGATAAAGCACGGTGGCAGGGTGAGCAGAAGGAGCAATTTCCATCCTACCCAAGCATGCAGAACATGCTGGATAACATGTTTGCTTGCTTGCTTTTTAAAAGTATTTTAAACTTACAAATCCCACCTTTAAAAAAAAGGTGTAATTTGTAGGTTCTAAGAGAGAGGGTCCGGGAATCTGTACCAGTGAAAGGGGCTTGTGGCCCGGAGCCCCTGGGGGAGCCCAGGGTGGGTACACGTTGTTGGGGCTGAGACTTTAAGGCCTCATTTGGGGCTAGGCGCAGGCCATGGTCCTGCGGTCGACAGGACCAACCTGAGCCCCCGGCGTGAGGCCAGGTGTCAGAACCGACTATGGGGGCAGCTTCTCAGCTGTCAGCCTGGCACCGAGGCAGGAGTGGAGGGGCTGTTCCAGGACACGTGTGGAGCGAGGGGCACATGCACCAGCTCAGAGCCTCAAACCTGGCACGCACACTGGTGCGAGGCCCCGACGTAAGCTTCCCACGTCGTGCCGAAATCCTAAGCTGAGCATCACATAAAAGTAGTGTGACATCCGGGGTCTGCAGGGGCTGCCCTGTGAGCTCACAGACCACCTTGCGAATCACTAGGGAAGGCTCTCACTGCGAAAGAAGGTTCCCAGACTCCGCAGGTACTGAGGACTCACACCTGCGGAACGAGGATTGGGACGATGAACGTGGTGGGTCACTGGCGTCTCGGGGCTTCCAGGCTGGAGGGTGACACAGTTAAACAGCAACGACAGAACTGGCTCTCAGTGGCAGCTACCTGCAGGCACCGAGTGGCCCGGGCACCTGGCCCTGACTGAGGAAGAGGAGGACCTTGGCCTACAGTTGGTCAGGAAAGACAGGAAATGGCGAAACGATTTCAGCAAGAAAGTATAATCCACAACTGGCAGGTGATTGTGTAAACAGTGAGTGTAGCATACGTGCATGGTTGAAAACACATATTTGTGCATAAACACAAGTTGCGTAGGCAAGTGCGAGTGTGTTTATGCTGTGTCTAAAAAAGAGCGTTAATGTATATGGTGGTGACCTTGTGAGTGTGAGGGCAGACTCTCAGATGCCCGGGTCCAGGCGGCACATGGCGAGTGCAACACAAGAGCGTTCAGAGCACGCGAGCGCGGGCAAGCTGACACATCCTCTTTCGTCCCTTCCTTAGTAATCTGCAAAACGGGCTTGCTTAATGGGATCGCCATAAGGATTAACGAGAACAAAGTGTGAAAAGTGCCTGGACACATGGGAATTTCTTATTCTTTTTCATAGTTTTCAGTGTGTGTATCTTTGTGCACGTGTGTGTGTGTGTGTGTGTGTGTGTGTGTGTGTGTGTGTGGGACAAGCCCTCAAGTTCACCTTCCCAGATTTCTTCAAGTCTTGCCTTCCCATACCCCTGTCCCCACACCGTCAAGAAACCTCCTGTGGCCCTGACTCAGCCACCAGGCAGCCACCCCTGCAGTGGGGGAGACGACAGGG